AAAATTATCAGTTTATCAGTTGTCATTATTCAAATTGGTAAAAAAACGACACGCGTAGATATACACATTTTTTAACTCTTCCCAGTGTAATCCATGGAAACTTGAAATTGGCTGAATTATAACTTTGAGATAAAATATAATTAAGTGCGCTTGTTGCCCAAACAATGTAAAACTGTACATTCGTGCCAATTGAACAGGCAAATCAAATACCCTGAAAATTCCTCGCTAGCTTCCAAGCTCTATTTGAGTTAATAGTTCATAATTGGTATTTGTATAATACACAATTTTAGCATTAATTACGGAACTTGAATGGAAGGAACTTTTAATATGAACATTCAAATTTTCCGACTGTCGTCAGCAGCAAATGCACGTCTAGATAGGAACATTCCGTACGGAATAATCCGGTTACATTAGGAAAAATACAATCAATGACCGACTGCGTAATGGCATTCACTGTTTTTGTTTCAAAAAAACGATTATTTCAAACATCCCACAAACGCCTCAATAATGTTGTAAAGGAATAATGTATTTGATAAGACAATGGAAGGTGATTTTTGGTGTCACCTATTTACAATTTTCTGTTAATTATTTAAAAAGAGTCAAACGATAACTTTTAATGGAAACAGACAGAATCCTAAGAAAGAGAACCCGGCTTTTAACGAAATTTTTTTAATCAAAAGTGAATTGTACTGATAAGATTCCAGACATCGATTAACGATGAAGCTGAATGGATAAGAGCATTATTTTGGTGCTAAGCCAAACAACTATAAAAACATTGTGGTAATTATCCTAAAAATACATCAAGTAGTTATTATTTATAGATAAGTTTGGCCGATAGTGTTTGCAGTTTCTGTGCCAAACTGCAAAACGTCAACAGTGCAAATATTTAGCCAATCAAAGATGACTGGAACCAAATAAACATTGCTCATGCAACTTTAATCAACAAGTTTTCAATTTGTTCTCAAATAACTATTTCCAGCCTTTTTCAATATGAAATTCAAAGTTTCCAAATGTAAAAAATTCACCCTTCTAAGCTCTAAGCAGGTAGAGCTCTGAAATTTTTGAAGGAAATAGAGCAAAGTTGACTCTATTGGGCAACAGAGTTTCAAACTTCGACTAAGCTCGAGTGAATTTGGGCATTTTTTTAATCGTCCTCCTGGAACTCCCCCAAAAGTTGTGCAAGCTCTGTTTCAAAAATTCGCTCTGTAAAGCTCTAAGCAGATAAAGCACTGCAGTTCCTGCTACAGACAGAACACACAACAACAGGTTGACTCTATCGGTTAGCGGAGTTTCAAACTTCTATTAGGTTTGAGTGAATTTGGGCATTATTTCAACTGGAACCCTTTTAAAAGTTGTGCAAACTATGTTTCAAAAATTCGTCCGATTAAGCTCTAAGCAGATAGAGTTTTGAAATTTCACCAAAGTGTATAGAGCAAACATTGCGTTATCAAACTTCGATAAGGCTCTAGTAAATTTTGAGTTTTCTAAAAATCATTAATCTTGACTCTTACCGTTAAAAATTGTGCAAACTCTGTTTCAAAAATTCGTAATCTTAAGCTCTAAGCAGATAGAGCTTTGAAATTTCTACAGAGTATAGAGCACAGTCGGCTCTATTCGACAGCTGACTTGCAAGCATCGATTAGCCTTGAAGTAAATTTGGACAATTTTTTTAAATTATCCTTCTGAAACTATCTCTTAAACTTCTGCTTGCTCTGTTTAAAAAACTCGTCCTCTCAAACTTTAAATCGACAGAGTGCTGAAATTCTTGGTGAATATGGAAAAAAGGTGGCTCTATTAAGCAGCTGAGTTTCAAATGTCGATTAACATCGAGTCAATTTGGGCAATTTTTTGAACTCTGCTTTAAAAGTTGTGCATGCAGGCTCTGTTTTAAAAATTCGGCTTTTTAAGTTCTAAGCAGACATTGCTCCGACTTTTTTGCAGAATATAGAGCAAAGTTGGCGCCACTCGTCAGGTGAATTTTAAACGTCGGTTTTGCTCGCCTAATTTTTGACCGTTTTTTAAATTTTAACTCCATTTTTTTATTTCAAGTGTGCAGGCTCTATTTGTAAAATTCCCCGTATAAAACTCTAAGCAGATAGAGCGATAAAGTTCAGGCGAAATATAGAGGTAACAGAGTTTACTACGCAGGAGGATTCCAACCCTACTTATATTAGGTTTGGACGATTTTTCAGAATGTTAATTTCGAACTCTATTAAAGTTGTGCAAGTTCTGTTTAAACGAATCCTCCTCTTAAGCTCTAAGCAGGTGCAGCTCTGCTTAGTTTGAACTTTAAGAGTGATGCGAATATTTCAGTTTTGTAAAACGGCTGCTTCGCAAAAATAAAAAACTACTTAATGAACGCACAATTTAAAATCAAATCAAAAGTTTTGCAATTTTCACTTTGCCACTTAATTCTCAGCTAGCTGCTCTAGAACTTTGTTTCATCTCCTTGATTTGATTTATTGACTCATGCAGTACTCTATACATTTGCAGCATATTCAAACCCACTTGACTAGATAAAAAAATTTAAAAGAAAAAAGGGATCTTTTGTAATATTAACTTGTTATCCGTCTGCAGGATAAAATGCGGCGTTTTTAAGGATTTCCGGCCAGCTTTATACTTTCCGAATGGTATCAATTTCGCAAAATCCATTTTGTGGGAAGTTACCGGACGTTTTTCTATACTGTCGGCGCTATTTCCGTATTTCCATTATTGTGTTGAAGAGTACAAAGATACCAGGAAGAAAACAAGCCCGATTTACCGCAAAACGAAAACAAGTGCCTGTATATTTCGTGCCAACACGAACCTGTTTACAATCGAATTGCGGAAAAAAACTAGACGAATGCCGACATCGATTTTTGCAATAATTTATCTAACAATCAGGCGATTGGGTGCATTTAACATTGCAGCCACTCGAGACAAATTGACAAATCCGGAGATTTTTTTGCGATTAAAGGCCTAAAACCCGCCAAATTAATACCCGGACTTGCTGTTAGAACGCATCAACATGTTGGGCCAAATAGGAAGGACAACAACGGCATGTTCTGACGTAAATTGAACATGGGGCGAGCCCACAAACCTGAATTATAAATTTGTCCAGATTTTGATAAACATGTCTAAAAATATTTAGTTAACTGAACTTTTCACAGACAAACACAATCGAGGTCCAAACTCCACATGATTTGCGTGCTTAATAAATATTCCTTAAGGTCTATTTTTAACGTTAATAATTGGACAATTGTGCGTTTGACGAGAAAAACACAACTATCACATGCGCTAAATAAAACTGCGCTCTAAATTAATATAATTATATTTTAGGTGCGATTGACAAACAATATTTGCAACAATTTTCCATTTTTGAGTTAAACATTTTTTTTACAAGCTTTGCTAACAACGGTGTGAACATTCGATTCCAACAGACAACTGCAGGCCTTATAAATCCGGTGACATGAACTGAAATACTTGCATATTGAACAGGAAAACACAAACGTAGTTAGCCATCAATTGTATTCAATTTCTGTATCTGTCTAGTATTCTTGACCCACATTTAAATAAATATACGACTATGAATTCTAATGGATTTTTACAAATTTAAAAAACATCTACAACCGCTTGACTCGATGATGAGCGCATTTCAAAGTGGAATAATGCTTCAGTTTGGAATTCTTGGAAAAGTTTGCAAAAATCAAAACACAATATTGTAAGGATCCACTTGTATTTAAAAAATCACTCATTTACTCTCGTATAAACATTTCTCAATAAATTGAACGAATGTAATTTAATACTGCACCATTTTTGCCTATAATTACTGTTTAATAATGGTACATGGATTGTGTAGTTGAAAGCTCGCCGAAAATCTAAACAACGCTGCCAAAAATGTCGATAATTATGCTCAATTTCCTCTAAAACAATTATATAAATTATCCGATGTGCGTTAAAAATCGCAATCTAATGGCATTGATGAAATCCAATTATTAATGTTGTAGCGTAATGTTCATTGCAATTACGAACAATGTTCAGCGTTATAATAAACTCAGCCGTTTGCAATTAATGATTGTTTTAATTTTCGGCTCAAACTGGGTCATTTCAGCCTGTTTTTTGCGTCCAATTTACCAACAATTTTTTTTCTAGAATTCATTAGCAGCAGTTTGATCCACCTAACCAAACAGATTCATTAGCACACAAGTGAATGTCGTCTCACATAATATTGATCTTTGGAAATAGTCTCAACAAAGTCATAACAGTGTGTACTAAAACTTGCAAATATTTGGAAGTGAAATTGACTGACGCTCATGCTCCCACCCGCAAGAGCTAATTAGGAAAATTTATCATTCGAGTAGTGAAAACATCAAGCTTGAAAATAAACAGCGGTTTTAAGAAGGATTAATGGATTTTTCCACTAACAACTAACAATTGAGTGTATGGTGCGAACGTAAAATATTAAGCGCAGAGGCGAAATAGAAAAGTAATGGATTTGAAAAAAATTTCTTCATGGTTCTGCCAATGGTAAGAACTGTAGGTTTGGGCTGCTAAAAATGTACACTAGACGGTGAAAGCGCATTCAAAACCACTGCGGAAGGTCCAAATCCGCAGCTTTTTTTCATGCTCAACGGAAATCTATGGTTTAGAGAAAATTATTTAAATATTGTTCCGGCAACATGTAGACTGGCAGGAGAGAACCCATAGCCTGTCAGATCTCCCGATCTAACTCCACTCGGTTTTTTTTGTTGGGCTGCTTAAAATCTGGGGTTTGGCGTCAGAAGAACACGAAGATTAGAATAACGCAGGAAACAGCCAAATTCCTTCCCAAGTGTTTTTGTGATTATTTTCAGTTTATGCGAATTTACTGAAAACTTTAATGTTTTATGCTTTGTTCACATTCACAGTATTTTTTTAAATATTAACTCCTTCAACCACATTCAACTAAATAAAAATCCATGCAAATTAATTAAAAAATTCTTTAAATTTCACTTGAAAAGAGTAATGAAAAAAACACTTACCAGTTAATAGGAGGGCTGAAAATACAGCAAGACTGCGTTTGATGTCGTAAACAACAGTATACATACTAAGATATCCTCCAGAAGGCGCTCGAAATCTTCAAGAAATATTTAAAAAATTTAAGGTTTAATTGAGTATTTTTGAATCACTCCCGTGTGAACGAAAGAAAAAAGCCGGCAAGAGGAACACGACAGTCACGTGTGGAAGAGAGTACAATTCACACTGACTGAACTTCCTCCTAGGCTTGTTAGGAGAGACTGAGGAAAAACGAAAAATGTTTGGAATTTCTGTTCTGGAGCGCCAGACTGTTTTGCGACTGCCTGTACACTTGTTGCCAAACGTGGGAAAATTTACGAAAGATCCCATTGGTTCAAATCGGACATATACTTTGTGTCCAAGTGGATAACTATAAAAATTGAGTTAAACTATCCTTTCTTCTTCTATGACTCAATTGGTTGAAGTTTAATATTTGCATTTGATAATACTTGGCGCTTAAGCAGCCGAAACGTTGATCCAAATCAACAGGCACATTTTTGGTTTTATATAAGTTTTCCAATGCAAAAAGCAGACAGTATATTGAGTCATTTCGAGTGGGACCCGCGGTTGTTTTCCCATGTAAATACGGGGAAATATTTGGATAAGGGCGTTTTTATGCGGCCAAATTGCCCGTGTAATTTCTGCACTCTAAACATATGTACTTTTTATGCCATGAGCCGGTAATTGAAAATCTGTTTGGGTAATTTTATAATAATATTTTGCATGAACGGAGGATGGAAGAAATTGGGGCAGCAAACCAAACAATAGTGGTTAAATTCATAATTTTTTGCAAGAAAATTTTCCGGAAAATCGGACAACGTTGTCTCACCTACCGCGAAACCTCACAAGGTGAATGGTGATTCAGAAGAAAAAATCTAATGGTCACCAGGGCACACGTCAGCTGCAAGCCAATAGCTATCTTTATTTTTCCCGTGGCGTTTCTGAATGGTGTTGCGCTCTTTTGGGCGGAAAGTCACAACTTGGTGAACGTGGTGACGTCGAAGGCATCACGCCACCAAAATTTGTATTGCTTGGTTGGCTGGTAGAATTTCTACGAGGAACATCGTACGATTTTGGTTTTCCTTGATATTCGGTTATCGTTTCTATGGAACTTTTGAAAGTTTTTTTCGTTGAGTAATTATCTTCATCTTTAAGTGACTACTTATTACTTAAACACCCGGTCACCCACCTGCACTGAAGTACCTCGAATGTTCTACGGTTTATCAGATAATCAGCCATCATGCACGTTTTGCTCAAGAAATGGTGCTGAGATGCACGCAAACTGTTTACATGTTTAGGTCTGTTTAAGGTTTTTCTCGATTTCAGTGTTTTTCTGTTTGAGACTGGAAATTGTCATTTGGTTCTCCGAAAAGGGGCAATAATGAGCTTCAGCGCCGTTTTATTCACTTTTGTTAATCGAGAACATTGTGAGCATTTACTAAAGAAACAGTGTTGAGTTGAATTAAATTTCTTCAATGGTCCAATTAGTTCATGTTTGTGAAATATCTTTTTTTTATCAGTGGAATCAATAACAGTAAAAATTGGAATTGCTCAAATTTGGATACACACAGTATATAAATTTCCAAAATGGAAAAAAGCCTAATTTCCAAGTTTCCAAAAAGAAGCCGAGTGATTTAAGTACTGAATTTATTCTGAGTTAAAGGCTCGATTTTGCCTTTTTTTGTGTTTTACACAATAAAAACTGCAGAAAATTCTCTACCGTTAAACTACTTTATTCAATGTGGCAATGGAATAATTATCTCAAAAAAGCAAATGCAATTTAGCATGCATAACAACGGTTTGCTGTATGATAACAGTTTTATCGGCTAAAAAATGGCTCTCATTACGTTAATAATTGCCCAATATTTTCTTTAATGATAATTTTTTTTAATTATCTAATTTAGACCTCTTAACGATTAGTAGGAACAATTAAACCATCCTCTACTATTTACAGCTGTCGCGTCTCAAAATTATCAGAATCCATGAAATAGAAGCATGTACATGTACTAGAAAAGATACTCACGAGCAACGATTAATAAATAAAAACCTCAACTTGATTACGATTGATTTTTTCCATAAAATGTGTTTTTTACCTCCACAATGAAAATGCTACAAAAACAACGCCAGGTTCGTTAAAAATCTCTGAATTTTCCATAAGGGTGATTCGGAAAATTCGTCCTCTTTGGCCCCAGTCTTTCCTGACACTGCAAAAAGCAGGCGGACGTTAATTCGGTTTTACTTCTGAAATTTAAACAGTTCCTTGAAAAGTGGAATTTGTTTTAAAAAGTTCTAATAAACTCGTGCCCTTAGTTTGACGTTTCCATTAATTTTCCCTGTCTTTGAAAAATCCTTTACATCAACTCCAGTGCGAATTGAAAGTGAAAGTGTGAAAATACACAAAAAAATTAAAACATTGTGTTTTCAATACTAAATCTGCAACAATTTGTGCGAAACGAAACTGATAATGTTCGGAAATGATAGCAGGAGCTTAAAAGCCTTAACACTCTCAAAACTTGTTTATCCTCGCCATAAACCCTACGATAAAGACGAGAATGTAGTATTTATTGCGCATTAGCGATATTTTAATTGTTCTGCAAAAAACATACATGAAGGATTTAAGAAACACATAATTCTGGAAAATTACTTTGCTGGAAAAGTTGAATTAATTTTCCAAAAGTTCTAATAGGTAAACCTGTTTGTGTGGCAATTTAAAAAAAAATGTTCAAATGAATGTAACAATAAATAAAGAATGTGGTTTTGCAACAATTTGATCAAAAGGAAACAAATAATTTTCCACACTAACATAAAACAGGTAAAACGATTCTAAAGCGAGTAAACTACTTTTCGAAATATTCCGGAAAAACGCGACAAACCATGTTTTTCCAGCAATTCCTGACATTATCCAGTAAACCAACTAATAAAGCTCATAAGAACGTGTCTTTTTCATGTTTGTTGTTGCACCAAATCGACTAATTTGCTGTACGAACATGCGAGTTTTGAGCGAGACAATATTTAATAAAATAATGTCAATTTTGCGCAAGAGAATTCTAATCGCAATTAATTCAAGTAGTGAGTAAAAATCTAAATATTCCGGATGAGCCATTTTTGCTAACTCGTGAATCATTTGGCACCCACTGAAGCCGATTTCTATTTAACATTGTTTCCTGCTTGAAATGCCTGCAGGAAAAGCAGTTAATTAACACACCCACTTAGAAGCTAACATAAGCACATTGCCGAAGTGTAGCTCCGTCTTGTGTAACGAATTCGTTCCGAATTTGCACTTACATTACAAATTACAATAATAATCGTAAATGTTGGCATAGAACGAGCGCGAGTGTTCCTCCAAGACGCCGATATGCAGATATCTATTCAAACATGATTCTCTTAACTAAGGCATCTTGAACACTAAGCAGGAATTTGCCATTATTGTCTATTATTACTGTAATTTGAATTAACTTAATTTTTTTTTTGCTCATCACATCGGAGTGTAAATTTGCTGCAAATGTACAGGCAAGACAAAAAGATGAAGAACCCAATATGGACAAATGCAATTAAAACTTACAAACTTGGTTAATACGGGTCTTCAGTAGTTCTATAAATAGAAAATCTTTATGGGATTGCGAACGATTCTCGAGTTTCAATGTGAGTGAAGTTGGAACAATTGCATAATAATTATCAAATAAATACATCAGTTTTTTTGGATCGAATACCTAATGTAAGTTTTCGGGATTTTAGACCTAAAAACTGTTTTTTGAGCTGAATTGTTTGTTGCTTGAATTGTTTTTCACCTAAGAAGTTCCCCACTATTGCACCTTTATGCATATGTATTGCCATTGATTGTGTTAAAATTCTTCAAAAATATTGCCTATTTCGAATCTGAGGCGTCTATCCTCTTTTTCAATACGTTCGTTGCATTTCTCGCTTCCTTTTGAATAAAAAATCTTAATTATCGGATGAATTTTGAGTGACTGATGTTTATGGAAAAAATCAACCTCCACTCCATATGAGTGTTTTTTGAGCTTAATAGATTGTTTTCGAGCTAAGAAGCTCCGCAATGTGTAAAGTGTTGGAATTTGTAATAAAGAAACTATCGTCGAATAAAGATTGTGAGTAGTAGAAAAACCGCTAAAAGTTGATCAAAAATACTGATTATTTCGAATCTGAAGCATCTAGTGTGTTTTTCAAAATTCTTCCTCGCTTTTTCTGATAAAAATGATCAACTACTGGATGAATTTTGAGTGAGTTGATATTTTTCGAAAAAATCGACCTCTTCCCTTATGGAACTTTTGAATGAAAATCCACATTTTACATGCGCGTTTTTCGACCTAAGAAGCTCTCATTATGCACAGATAAAGTGTGAGTCTGCACTAAAGAAAATATTGTCGCTTAAAGATTCTAAGGACGCAAAAACCGCCAAAAATTGCTCAAAAATGTCGATTATTTCGAATCTGAAGAGTCTAGTGTGTTTGTCCATACGATTTCTCGCTTTTTTTTTGATGAAAATTATAAGTGATTCGAGGAATTTTAAGTGACGGTATTTTTCAAAAAAGTCGACCTTCCATCCTAATGAAATTTTCGGTCAAAAATTGAAATTTTATGTGCCTGTTTTTTGAGCTCAGTGAATTCCTTTCGACCTAAGAAGTCCCCAATTCTGTTGCTACAATCTAAAATACGGTCGTTTGAAGATCAAAACAACTCAAAAACCGCTTAAAGTGAGTGCACTGAAAGATGATATCACTATCGTCTTTTCAACAGCCCAAAAAACTCTTCCTACACTGAAAAAGTTTTTAAATTTTTAGTACCTTTATGTATTTAATCCAAACAGCTTAACTTAAGTCTCCTGATCGAGTAAAAGCACCATAATTGGGACAATAAATTAATGATATTAAATATGATTGATTTCCTGCTACTACAATTCGAAAGCTACGCTCAGGAATTACAGTTACATATTCAATGATTTAGTGTGTTTTGGAAACAAATACGCATCTTTATATATAATTTTCAGCATGGAATTGCGATAAATCACAGTTCAGACGTTCGAAACCGCCTGCAGTATTGAGCCCCATGCTTATACGGCTTAAATTGTTGAGGAGTCGGCCAAATTCGGTTTCTAACGTGTTTGGCTCACAGGAATTTTGCATTACTTTGTACACGAAACCTACCATGTTTGTTAAATCCATATCCGAAGATTTTTGCGCAATAAGTGAAAGTTGGTAAACACCACTGTTTA